CACACACACACACACACACACACACACACACACACGTGCATCACAAGGTTGCAGCACTACAGCGTGGATAGTCAAATATTAAAGTGGATACAGAAGATAATGGGAGGCTCTCTATGGTTAATAGATGAGTCGGACAAGGACGGACTGTGCTGCACCTGTTGGAGCCTTCACTGTACTTATCTCCTGCCCGGCCTTTGACATCCATTAGTAATAAGCTCTAGTTGAAGGCCGGCTGGAGCCTCACTGTGTAGCTGCCTGATGCTAATAAGTCTTCTGTCATCAAGTGTGTGTGAATGTTATCACTCTTGTGTTCGGCTCACAGTGACACGTGACTTTGCCTATGGTGTGTTTAAGACGTATTACTGCATAATTCCTGATGGACTTGTCTGGCGGCTCGAAGTCGTCAGTCTTGCACCAATCCATCAGCAGATCCTCTGACATGTCCGTCTGTACGGTGGCGTGTTTTAATGATGGATGAAGGGGCTAAAATAGTGCACCTGTCCTCTATGTCTGTGATGTGCTGCACTCACCCCGTCCTGCTCCATTTATTAATGATGGGGTGTCGTCCCGCTGTGAAAGACAGGAATGTGCACTTTTCATCTCTTAGTCAAGTGGCCCCAACTTTAAATTATAAGCAGAGCAGTTTGAGTCAGGTGCTCTGTCCAGGAATATTCTGTGCAGATCAGTAAAGCAGAACTTCAAACAGCGTTTCCAAGCACAAGAAGGTTATGAAAAGAAATGTGTTTGATTCACTTTGCACACTCTGCACTTTGAAATCTCTGGTAAGAAAACCAGATTCTCAGATCTTAAAGCACCTGGAATGTTCATTTCACAGAGTCAGGAAGACAGAAAGAAAGGACGGATCAAACTCATTTTATTTTTGGGAATCTATCTCCTTTTCTACAAAGAAAATAGCTTTCACTGCTCATTTTTAATAGGAAGACCCTCTGAAATGTACTTCTGACCTTCTCTCTAGACAAGAAGTGACAGGGAGGATAGATGGAGAGAAAAAGTTCTGACAGAAGAAAAGAAAATCCTGTTTGGGAATTCATCAGGCAGATGGTTTTTAGACTCACTGAGGTTCCACAGCCTCGCAGGCATGAGCTAGAGAGAGGAGAAAACAGGAGAGGAGGCAGGCAGATGAAGCAAAGTGGAAAACAACATGCAGAACTGTGCTGCACACATTAATACAGAACGTGTCGGAGTCACAGATGGGGTGAAAGGGTTAGGAATGAAAGCACAAGACAAAAGAACAGACACAGGCACCGGAGGGAAGTGCAAGTCAAACTGTATGCTTGTGGGAAATGTAACGTAGCCAGATGGCTCTGAGCTGAGAACAGTCTCATCTTTGGTCCCACAGTCCAGGACAGGCAGCCCCACCCCCCTCAGGCAATGACAGGCCTGGCGCAGCGGAACAGGATCAAACCCTGAAGATGGATGGAATGTTTTTTGCCAGCCCACAGAGAACAGAGAGGTGCAGGGGGGGAGTGAAGGACGAAGAAGTCAGGGGTAACAAAGTGGAAAGGAGACTCAGGTATCTTTCGACACAATCATATGACTGGATGATGTGTGGTCAACGTGCGTGGATGAAATCGGTTGTAGAACTATTGTAAACTACCAACAGGTGCTATACTCGGTTAGCGCATGCAGGAGAAATGGTACAAACATCACTGACCTGCCCACTCGCTTCCTATAGACAATAACGTGATGTATTTCCCATATTCACACTGAACTTTTTATTTATTTTGCAATGGACGTGAAAAAGCACATTAAATGTTGATTCATTATGTCAGCGTGTTCAGAATTTATTCATTTTTACATTCTGGCTCATGTCAGCTGGTTTCAGTCCTTTATCTCTGTCTGTTCTCACATATGCTGTATTTTAATTTCAGCCTGATTCCCAAACTCTTGGTACATGCTATTAATGATGCGGTTTCGAGTTGACTTTGACTGTCGGGGCTCAGGGACACTTGGATGACACCAAGTGGAGGCATGTTGTTTTTTTGTGTTTGAATAATTAATCACCATTTACTTCAATATATTGGATTCAGCTGCAACACTGTTTACCCCTGAAACTCCAAAAGTGTTTTGTGGAATCAAACACTTCACCCACTCCTCCATCGGCATAGTGGTGAGTAGATAATGAGTGAATTTTCATTTTTGGGTGAATTATCCCTTTAAGTCCATGTGTAACCACAAGCCACTTCCAAGCTGTTGCTCTGCAGGACGACAATCCTGATTGTACATCCAACATCTGACACACACACAAAATCATCACAGTTTGATCCCTCAGAGAGAAGTGTCGGGGGAAAGATCTTTCTTCTTTTGTCTTTTACACAGTGCACAGGCTTCGTCTGGATAAAAACTGCTGCTCCACCTTTCTGCCATCACTGAACTCACTGTTGTCTCTCATGGGGCCATACTGGCAACTGTCCTCTTCAGAAATTACCTTAGATTTGCCTGAAAAAAAGAGAAACTGCAATGTATTCACTCATTCATTCAAGTCACGTCAGTGTTTATAAGACTAGTGCTGCTGCGGTCCAACCAAATTTGAAAGTCGTAGACAATTAAATTTAATTAGTCTGTACTTTGAAATATTGTCTTTGCACCATTTGATTTTGTTGCTGAGCCAATATATATAAGAATGTAGAAAATGTCTAATTTGAAGCTTTCACTTTATCTTTTAAAAGCCTGTTACATCATGACTGTGAAGTAACAGTGTTACAACACATTACTTTATACTTCAGTCAACAAGCTTCTCTGTGTTAAGACCTTGTGAGTAAAACACTCTGTCCACTTCATATTGATTATTCATGGATTTATTTTACTTTCAGGGTATGTATCATAAATCCTTTTTCTATGCACAAAATCTGTTTGGGTTTTGGACAGTTGACAAAACCAAGTTTTACAAGTTGGACTTGTGTAACTTTTTGATTTTGTCTTTATTTTAATTTAATATTAAACCAGAATGTCAGTGAGATAAAAACACTTACTTTTGTCAAGGCCCAACTGTCTAATTGAATTCAGTCAAGCTGCACCAAACTTTACACTCTAAAAGATATTAGTTGTCTAAATATACCAGTTTTGATTACCTAGGAAAACGATTAAAATGCCAAAAAATGCCCTTGAAAAAATTCTAATACAATGTTTTCATTCCTGACCCAGACCAGATCCTTCCACCACATTTCATGGTCGTCCATTAGTCATTGTGTGATGCTGCTACCTGACAGACAAACACAGATGAAAACAAAACCCTATTTTTGTTTTCTCAGTTTTTTTCTGTGTATTTATCCAATTACTTTTGAGTTAGTTGATAGAACTAATCTTAGTTTTTTTTTTCTCTTGAAGCAGCGCTGCGTCTCTATGAACGGGGTGAACCAGTCGTGACACAGGCAGATGGTGCAGAGGCTCCTCACAGCATGAAGAGGATGAGGAGTAAGATGAAGATCAAACAGCCGCAGCAGAGATCAGAGCGGAGCATCGCAAGTCACATACGACATCACAGGCTAAACGTAAAGGATGTGCAGCTGAGACAATCTATAAATATAACTCCTGTATATGCACTGATTTACACATACATGACTGGTCCCACAGTTAAAATGCTGCAGCTGTGAGTGATGTAGAAATTGATTGTGGAACAGAACTGGTTTGTTTGAGGCTTTTTCTTTGGTCTGTGAAACTGAGGAGACGGGAACATTTTCTAATTTTCCTCGAGGATAAACAAGCTTAGCTGCCCTTTCTTCGCCAACCGCTCCCCTGTGGAGCGCACGTACTCCTCTGCTTACGATGACATTTCTCCATCTGAAGATCAAGTCCACAGATGGTCTGATAGCTCTTTTTTTACATCCTGTTCTCGCTCTGCAGTTTTATTTTGGAATCACTAGTTTGGTGAGGTTCTTGTGGCTGTGAGGGTTTTTTTTTTTATCTGCCTGTTAGTTTCTATGACTCCACGGTACCCTTCACGTGTGTGTGTGTTCATGTTGACGGCTCTCTGTCCGTGTGTGG